ACAAGCCGATATCCTTTCTTCAGATCTGACTGTAACGGAACTGTTTAGTCACATCTTCCATAAATGTCAAGTGGGAAATTTAGTCAAATGACAGATAAATCTGTCGCACTGAGATAGGAATTTCAAAATTATTACCAGAGATTGATGTAGAGGTCAGTAAAGTTTATCATCCAAGTCTCTTTAATTGAAAAAAATATTATCTTTCGTCTAACGAACTTTGTAACAGAATTGTGATAAGCGGAGCGAATAACATACCGAAGAAGCTCCAATATGAATGAGAACTCTGACAGACTTTTCTCCAAACAAATAATGGTCGTCTGTCTGGTTTAAACAAAAATTAATTTATAACATCTGTTGTAAATGTTAGAACGTTTAAAAATTAAGAAATAAGTACAACAACGACAATACATTTAATGTATTAATATAAATCAATTGTTGCTAAAACTTAAAGTTTGCTACAATAGAAAGTCACAACCATCCGTTGAAATATTTTTAAGAAGCAGTTGGTTTGTATTGTTTTGAATTTTATATATGTAGAAGTAATTTATCTTATCAGTAAATCTTAAAAAAATGTAACTGATGTATGCATTCATGTACGTATGCCTGTGTATTCGCGCGTGTATATATATATATATATATATAAGTAAAGTAAAGTTTGTCCCACTATACCAAAAAAAATAAGAGACAAGTGTTTATTATTCATAATTTTCAGTAAATGATCTATGTTAATAACCATTCTCATTATTATTGAGATATATATATATATATATATATATATATATATATATATATATATTATAAGAGCTGACAAGAAAGCAACAAATCTGCATCATAACCACCTTGAAACTGGCAACTGCATTATTTACCGAAACGTCGGTTGCCACCAAACGTTCGAACCTGCTTTTACTCGAAAGCCGAAGTTACATAAACATACATCGGCACGACGCGCACAGTTTAATTCAGTTAATTTAATTTATTTATGTGCTTGCCAACAGTAAAACGAGACTAATTTTTGTCAAGAATTAAAAGCAGAAGTACAAGAAAAACAATGATAAAGAAAGTAGTAGATTAATAACAGAACTCGAACGTTCAACGCAAACAATTGTGAAAGATATGAGCATAATCTCGAGCCAGTTATCCACCTGCGACCTCCCATTATCCTGGTGGTCTTCTAAATTACCGCTTTTAAATTGGATTCTTCACCAGAATTCTCCATGCGTTTTGTTTTCCGATGTTAGCTCTTTCACCTTCTTTGATTCTACCGCCGTAAGTATATGACCTGTATAAATAAAGAAGTCAGTCAATAGTTTCATTTACTAAGTAACTTCTGCCGGGCTTCAAGTCTGAGTGCTGTAATGTGGGAATATAATATTTTTGTATCTATTCGAACAGACACCTGAAGACATATTAACAAGGTGCAAGTTTATTATATAGTAATTAATCTTTAAAATAAAAATGGAAAATTTTGGACCTGCCTTTTCTGTGTAGTAATCCTCAAATTAAACAAGCGAAAACAAAGAGAAAGAGTAGATTACAAGAAAATTAGTGTAAGATTGTTTACTGTCCGCTCAAGGTCGCACTTGCTTCCGTTTTTGTCTTATTAAGCAGCAACCAATTTGATAAATTACAGGTTCCATCTCTTTTTAGTAATGATCAAGTAACGAGAAAAGTCGCATGATCTGAATCACATTCTCTTCTAGAAAATTGATGATTTCCGTCTTGGAAGTACATGACGCTGAGAGGTAAAACCGACCAAATACAGTCTTTTCATAATGGGGGCTGCTACAGTTGTTATTTATTATGTAGGCCAATTTATAGTTTATAAAGACCAGGTGAATTTGAATAGAAAAATGTAAGTAGTAGGTACGAGATAGCTTTACTACCCTGACTTATATACTGCTTAAAATATCCGATTCCCTACAACAGTCCTTGACTAGCTTAAAGGCTTTCAGTCAGTCAAGAGATTATTTGTCTCTTATGGAACTTCTGTTCTCAACAGCCCGATACTATACCTACCCTCAGCCAGACTAATTAATCCACATCCTTACACTCTTTTTGCCTAAAATCCATGGCAACGTTTCGTTCCATTTAAAGCCTAGCTATCCCATGAGTATCTTCTTACCCTTGGATTCTCCCACTAAAATCTCTATGTACATCTTATCGCTTCCATTCATCCCCTGTAAAAATGCCAGTTAGCGTGGTCGACTAGGTGCAGTGGAAACTTTTCAGGTTGTATTGACGCCATTATAAAGTGATTAGTTTGCTCATGCGGCAAAAGTGTTCATAATTCGTCTTCATTTTTGTCTGCGTACTTAATTCTAAACTTTTTCGTGCTTTATTCTAATTAGTCAACTAGTTATTCTTATTTTGAAAAGAAATTATAAGCTCATACCATATAAAAGTAAGCACTTATTGTTCATAAAAAGTTTGAAAAAACACTGAAATCTTTTATTCCACAATGCCGTAAGTAAAGCCCGTATTTGAAACTCTTAAGCGAACGAAATTCCATGTTTTAAATACATACCTTGAATAACTCAAATGTAGTGCTCATGAAATTAATTGAGTATCAAAATAATACAACCGGTCAAATTTTTGTTGTCTCTCCTCCTTCAGTTTCTGTGTGGTGAATATTTTACAAAACGTGCCTCAAACTTGACTTTCTTGATGCTAAGAAGCAATAGTGATAATCTGTAGAAACATTGCAGCATCAAAGAATATGTCGTTGTTGGTCTTCCGGGTTGGACCGCCGTGTGGACTTCCAGGTAGATACCAGTACATTCCTCCGAAACTCTGGTATCTACGTACAATTCCACACGGCTTTAAACCTAGAGGACCACCATTGACATCCTCACCGTCGTAAGAAAACCCGATCCAATGCAGTAAAATAATACACCATGATTTGTGTAGAAATCTGCATATTTGCACATTTCAAAAAATCTCCCTTTTCAGTCTGACCTGTAGCTTCTATTGTTTATATTATGTACTGGCCTACGCAGTTTTATTAGCTTATTCAATAAACTGACTAATATATGTGACTAAAATGAGAGAAAATTATTCCACAAAACGTCTGTATAGGAGAACTAGAGCGGAAATTATATTTTTAATTGATATAGACATATTGCAGCTATTCAGTGTCATGTATTGTAATTTTTTATTAAGCTGTGAAAAATGTTACTATTGTAGTTCTTCTTAACACCTCTTTATGCATTTGTGTTTATAGAATGCATCATCCTTTAAAACTCAGTTACAACTGTTGTAAAGTAAGAAACATTCCATTGGGTTGATGACGTGAGAAATGGTGTTGGTCTTGGCGAGAGAAGCTTTCAATATTACATAAATAAATAAAGCATATCGTTAGTGGCTGACGTAGAAAACACTTTGTGAAATTTATGGAGTGCATTTTATAAGTACTTAAAACATCAAAGTCGCTGGTACATGAAATAACCTATTACTTAATCTCGTCGCTATTTCTTGTTCTCTCACGCGTGATGTTTGGAAGTAACTGTGAATAAGATAAAGGGACTCTGTACGTACCACGCACGTACACGCACCATGGAAGAAGAGGGAATGAGTAAAAATAGGGTTATCATGAAAGTAGTTAAATTTAAAAGCTGGCAGAAAGAGGTCCTTAAACAAGTCATAAAATGTTCTTTTACTGCCCATATAGTTCAATTTAGAATGATACAGCTTGTGAGTCGGTTCTGTATGACAGTCTACAATCTTCATACAGCAGCTCACCTTGTTGAATACAAGCATCCATTGAAGTGTTGGGGTTATATATTCGCTATGGCGGTAGAAAGGTTAGAGACCACTTCAAATTATCGTTGATGGGCAATTCTGAACTGTGAGTGAAATTGGCTCTTAAAAAGACGAGCGGACGAGGGAGGGAGAGAGAGAGAGAGAGATATAAAACAGAAAGGCGAAACTAAGAGAGATCCTACGGCCCAAACATGCCCTCTTGAAATGAGATGGAAGAGTAGCGAGTAGTGAACCTCTTGGAAAGGAAATTGTGTCATGAAAGATGGATCACGATACGGAATTTGACCTGTAAGAAAACCAATAAATGGTCTGATGCATGACAGTATTAACCCCTTTAAAACCGAAGCTCGTAAAAATAACATTTAAGAAAACAACATTTCATCATTACAAAGATTAACAGGTTAACGTTCTTCAAGAAAATAATCGCTGTTTATACAGTAAATCATATGAAACACATAAATGCATAATGCAGAGTCACTGGTTGTTGAAGCAAGTGGGGCGTATATTTACCAGTGGGCTTTAAAGGGCTGATTTGTTTTGTTCCGTTTTGACATTTGTTACTACATGTATTTTAATCAGTTAGTGACGAAAGTCATGCTTTTAAACTTGAAACATAACGGCGCAAACTGAGCGAGCAGTAAAATGAGAAGGTTAGAGAAGTGAGAAGCTTCCTTTTTATTGATACAGGCTGGGTTGCTTACTCCAACGTAATAGATAGATCGGGAATGAAGGGAGTTGTACCACTTTTATGGCGTAGAAAACCTAAAAGCTGTGAAGTAGCTTGATACACATTGATTGGATTCCAGACTGGGGCGAGGATATTATTATTTCCACTCGTATTCCATCTGCTCGAAAATTGAATAATGCAGAATATTAAAGGAGCCGAGAAATATGTGTAGAATTTTAGTCAGGAAGCTTAAAACCCAGGCATAGTTAGCAGGGGGGAGGAATAATATTACAGTGGATCTTGCGCAACAACCGAGAGAGAGCGTGGGTTGGATTAAAGTGGCTAAGGATAGGGATTAACAGCGGGAGCTTGTAAACATGTTGACGACCGTTGGCTTCCATAAAAGTCTTTAATTAGTCTTACCCAGATGTGTTTCTGGAAACAGAGATATTTAATTAGGAAGGGGACGAGCTAACAATGGAGTGGGCCTCAACAATGCAAACAAACCTTCGTAATGCAACACTGGTAAGTTTGTTTCGACGTTGATATGGAAACGTTACTTCAGAATACGAACAAAACAGACGACAGTGAAGTTTGTTTAGACATTGCTGTGGAAACGTTAATTCAGAATACGAACGAAAGAGACACAAGTGTGTTTGTTTTGGCATTTCTGCAAATAATCCTCAAAAAGAAGGTACGGTGAACATGGCTACTGTGCACGGGCAAAATAATCAAAATGCCTTGGATATTTGTGCGACAGAAGAAACTGACGACTGCAAATCTCAGACTTTTGAAGAAAACGGCAATTTTGAAAAGGTAAGCAGCGCAATGGATCTGATTAAATCTATAGGCAACACTTTCTCTTGACATTCTCGTCTGGGCACGGTATCTGTAATACTAAATTTGTGTTTCTTTTTGTGATGTCACGCAAATATTGTAGTAGAACACGACTTTAACCAGTGATAGAAGTAGCTTACGTCACACAACCCCCGCGTTTGAGCGAACACGTCATGTCTCATCCCTACAACATTATAATAGCTTTTATTTATTGTAAGTTAAATATGCCTATCTATTAGTTATTAGGAACACTCCATGAGCTTTACTCAAAGGCTGCAACCAAAGTAACAACGCAAGGATTGTTTTCTTGATATTGCGTTCAGTGGGAGATTGAATCTTGAAATATGATAAGAAAATAAACAAAGGCAACGAACCAAAATTACATTATAGAAGAAAATAAAAGCAGGTTTTGAAGACGGCAGTCCTTTGGATCGTTGGGCCGTATAGTCTGGAAAAATTTACCGACGTTTCGGAGGTGCTTACAAGCTTCGTAGCAATATTGAGTGTGACTTGTACTCGTATGTACCTCATTTACAATGGGGTCCAATGGCAACAGTGGACTTCAGGAATTTATTAAAAGCTGAAATTCTTTTGAGCACCGAGTATATCAAGAAAGACTTTGTACTACGGAGTTAAACAGTTTTTTAATCTGTGTTGCTGTTTGTAATGATTTGAAAAGTAAAGAAATGATCCAGAATGGATATTATTACATTCCTAATATTACGGATAATTCATGAACCCTGCATGCTAACAATCAGAGTTTTATGATTCAGTCCGATGATTGCTAATAATTATGCGAAATATAGTGTTTCTGCCTTCACCGTTTTAATTCGCTTATATATTACGTTTTTCAGCGCCCCCCTGACCATAATACGTGCAATACAGAAGATGCGTACAGGTATGTGTTTGCTACGATCACTTTTGTACCAAAATCTGAATATAAGTGCTTGCAGTGCATTAACTGCTTAGGTTATTATGCGTTCTTTACACGAAGTGCATAGCGAGAACTTACTATGGGCTTGTCCCGTCTCCATCCATTCATCCAACCCTCTGTCTGTGCAGTCGATAAAATTCGAGAAGCACTGGACGATTTTAGATGAAATTTGATGTCGATTTTGTGTCGTTGTTCATAACTTTAAATTCGTATATTGAATATCCTACGAGCGGTGATAATGAAATGACGCTGAGTATATTCGTGAGGTGAACATCGAGGTTCTGCAATTTGGTGGCCATGCTAAGAATTTATTTACAGTAATTCCCACGGTTACCATTGGCAACCACTGATAAGTGTTCGTAGAATGTTTGCTGTGATTAGTATGGTGATAGTGCCTCGATTTGGTGCAAGTGAGAAACATTTCCGGAGTGATAAGTTGTTTGTTTACAAATGGAACGTGGTTAAAAGTGTCAACATTGTTATGCGTTCTTTGAATGTTTGCCGTGGTTACTATGGTAATCGTGATTCGTACTGATGCTAGTGGGAATCATCCGACGCCAGCGTGCATCTTAGGATTGTTTTCGTTTGGACATGGTAATTTATGTCAGGTTAGGGCACTTTATTTTTTGTTAGGTTTAGTCAGGTCCGCTTAAGTGAAGACAAATTTTGTTAGGTTAGGCTTGTTTGGTTTCGGTTAAGGAAGTTTAGGTTATGATATATGTTTGAATATGAATTTTAAATGTTGGAATTTCGAATGTGAAAATTAATTTTTAAATATGGGTTTTGAAATTTCTAAATGTTTGAAAATTTTACTATTGAGGGTGTATACAAATTTTGAAAATTAAATCATTTAAAAATTAATAAATATACGACATTTCTAAATTTATTTCTCGGGACAAGGCGGGCGTAACACCTCTAAATGCACGTTTCGAAAGAACTCATTAGTATAATATGTGAATTCCGGTACGGAATACACTTTCCTGGTTTTTTTCTTGCATAAACTGAACTCGTCTTGTTTATGATATATAATGAAGCATATAATTTTGAAATTTTCATGGTAAACTTGCATCTTGCAAATGTGTATGCAAACTTACTGTATTCTCATATCTCAGTTATGTTTAATTATTTTACATGATAAGTTACGTTCCAGGATCAAGTGCTTGTTTTGTATGTGTGTGTGTGTGCGTGTCTCTTGGTTTCTAGTAGATAAATGAAAGAGAGACCAGCATAGTATTAGGCCATGCGACACCCAACAGTTACTGATTGAAATCCCTTCACCACGTTCTTAATTGCCATAGTCTCCTATAGTGAGAGATTGTGCCATGAAATACTTCTTACGAATGAAGTGGGTTTATTTCTAGAACTGAGCAACCCAAAGGTAAAGAAATCAGTATATGCCTACGGAGTGCATACGGAAAGAAGGACGTGTATTATCATTCTTGCAGTATCTAGTGATGGTTTAATCCACTTTTCAAAATATCGATGTTTCAAAATCATGACTCTTCTTTTATGCCATGGCAAACAGAATGTTTCCACTCTTCCGCTACTCTGTGGCCATTTTGATTATTGCAGGAGGTTTCTAGCTGCAGCCAACTTGGAAGTTTTTATTTGGCGCTGTGTTGCCAAACACATTCTTGTCACAAATTTGCACCCTTTAACAGCAGTTTTCTCTTTTGATTTGAGCCAGATCGTAACACCTTTTTAGTTCCAAGGTTTTTTGTCTTCAGTGTGTGATGAGGCGCATACCATTTATTAAGGTTAAGACAAATTAAGGGATCCGCAGTGGCCGCGCGGTCTGAGGCGTGGGCCTTGTGCCGCTTGGTCGCTGGGACCGTGAGTTCGAATCCCACTCAAGCCATGGATGTTTGTTCGCGTTTTTCTGAGTTGTCCTGTCCTGTGCACAGGTAGAGGCCTTGCGACGGGCCGATCCCTCGTCCAAGGAGTCCTAACGAATGTCCATAGATCAAGCCAATGAAAAGTTTAGACCCGCAGTGCACAGGCACTTGAAGAACGGGTCGTTCCCAGTATCCCTAGTAAGATAAATTAATATGATTCAGACACCAAGAAACTGTTATTCTGAATCCCATTATAAAGCCAAAGTGTGTTGAAAGTACTTGATTGTCTAACCATTTTAATATTTTACGTCTGTTCAAAGTCCTATCAAAAAACGACATTAAAATACATTGACACGTGATTTTTTCAAACCATCTGTTCGGTGTCTTAAGCATAAACACAGCTTTATATTTCCAATACCTGGTCTTCCGTTGCAATTTAATAATTGAGCACCACAAAACAATACTATTTCGTTCTCGGAAACAACTCTGTTTCGCTTGATTTATTTAAAGTGCTAATGTTTCTTCATTTATCTCGTCCGCAGTTGTTCTTTTAAAATTATGTACTTCTGATCATCGCTTCTAGCAGCCGGAAGTTTGTCAGTTGCAGGAATTTCTTTACAGACGTTCTCACACCGCACTTCTATTGTAATGGAAAACAATTATCGTGGTTCTCACGTTCTGCTTTTTGCAGCTCTTAAACTCGACCGGGGGGCCTGTACCCTTTTGATATCTTTAACACGCTACTCGTTGGCATTCCGATTGAAGGGTCCCCATTTCCTGATATGAATGATAAGGTCGGGTGAGTGTTATTCTTCAATAAAATTGTAAAAGCTACTCTCTCGGATGCGTTTGTGCCTCAGTAGTCAGAACAATATCGTTGAGAATTTTTAGCCATGATCAAACCAATGACGTCACAGCATCGTTTACTAGGAAATATTATATTAGTACATTTAAACAATAAAATGTACTGTGTATGACTGATTTAACGGGTTACAGCTGAAATGAAAAGAAATTGTGTGACCGGTAAAAAGGCGATTTTCCGAACCGGTAAGCTCTTGTCGATTGCTTCAGATATTTTTTTAGTGCACTCCATAGCCACTTCGGAATGACGGGGATTTATGTGTTACGCTACCATCAGAGAAATGATATGATACCGCAAGCTGCATTATAAGAGACAATATTACAGTCTTACAATTCTTCGCTTAGTATCAGGATTATGCTTGCTGAAGGATCGTGTAATGTAGTTGTGTAAATAAATTCTATGTATCTCGTTTGATTGCAGGAGTCTGGCTCAGATGGTAAGTGCTTTTGACAAAGCTGATATTCACAGAGATAATATGAATAATACGCGTTCAGTGGCTGCATTAGATTGCACGAACTATTCGAACCTGGAACCTAATACCAGCACATCTTCCACTGATGATGAAACATCACAAATAAAACCAATAAACTTGTCTGGCATGTTAATGAAGGAAGAAACAGAAGACGCCGGATCAACTACGCAGATACACACAGAGATGAACAATAGTAGTGCAGTAATGCGTATCGGAGACATATGTCCCTTGGCGAAGCTAGGCGAATTTGGTGTCTCATATTTACCCTCAAAAACCAGTGCGATTCTTGAACTTACTAAGGTTCTAGTGGAAGCGATTGACAAAGAAGAAAGTGCACCTGGGGAACACAGACGACTAACTACGGTACAGAGAAATCAGTTAATCAATGATTTTTTCAAAACGCACATAGTTATTCGTATTGACACAGAGGAGGCAGTGCAAACTATTGGATTAACATGTTTTAAATTGATAGAGGCTACAGATTTCTCAGATGTTCATTCAATTAGAAACCAGGCCGCAGAAACTTTCCCTAGTATTGAAGAAGTGAGAATGGAGAATGCACATGAAATGCAAATGTTAGGCGGAATTGATGCCCCCGATTTGCACTCAAAAATACGTGAATCTTCTGGTCAGGCGATTACCACAGGAAAAAACGTACCTGAAGAACAGAGACAGTTGATTGTCAAACAAAACAGACAAATAAATAAGGAGGATTTCAAAAACTACATCATCACTCGTGTGGAGGTGCAAGAGGCACTGCAAATTAATGGATCAGCAGCTTTAACATCGAAGGATGCTACTGATTTGGCAGTTACTCAGTCAAATAGAAGACTGGCTGCAGAAACCATCTTTATTATTGAAGACGTACATGTATTGAACACTTATAGAATGCAGATGGTAGGCGAAATTGATTTCCCCTATTTGTCTTCATATGTCATTGCCAACCTGGAACTACCAGGCCAGGCGATTAGCTCAGAAGAAACCATTCCCGATGAACAGAGATGGCTGACTAACATAAAAAGAAGTGATTTGAACAAGGAGCGCTGCAAAACTTACACCAGTACTTTTCTGGTGATAAACGAGGCACAGCAAATTGTTTTATCAGCAATTTGTCTATTCAAAAAACCTGTAGATTTTGCAGATACTCTGCTAAACATGGAACTTGGTACACTGGCAATTCGGACCAATACCCCGGTTCCTGGTGAAATATTAAAAAAATTGTTCAACCAAAACTTTGGCGTCATATTATCGATTCTAACTGGAGCAGGCCCTAATATGCGATCAACAAAGTCGTCGGTTTTAAGGAAGAATCTTGGAAGTAAAATTCACACGCTAGATGTATTAGGCTCTGATATGCAGCTCGAAAGAGTAGTAGCCTCAACTAACAACTATGAAAGTCAGATCTCGATGCTACCTGGAGGCACTACTGAGGGATCTACAAAAGTATCTGTCTCAAAGAATAACTTTGTTCATAAGATCCCGTTTCCTATTGCAACATGCAGTAATGCGCTGTCAATAAAGGAATCTGTTCCAAAGCAAAAGTCTGGCAGCAAGGCACAGATTCGATGTGCAGCAGTCGCTAAAGTGGTGTCAACAAAAGTACGTGTTTCAAAGAAGAAATTTGTTAGTAAGAAAGCGGTTCGAATTGAATCATGCACTAATGTGCGGCAAACAAAAACATCTATATTAAGGACGGACTTTGT